TGCGGAGCAGTCTCTGTGGTACTCCAGTCTCTAGGCTCGTCAGCCGCGCGGCGTGATGACGTCGCGCAACGGGAGGGGCGACCCTCTCCTAGGTCACGTCACGTTAGGGAGGCCAAGCGGAGGGGCCCTGCGTACCTGGGGGTTCAGAAAACGGGAAAGAGAAAGTGGAAGGGTGGACGGAGTGGGACGTGCGGCGCGGGAGCGTGGGCCGGAGGCGAAGGGTTCGAGGCTGCCGGTCCCCACACACGGTACGGCAGGGGGGGGCGTCCCCCTCACACTCAGCAGTCCCCCGCAACTTCAAAATTGCCCAGGTCAGTTGTGAACAATCAGGCTGCCTGTCGCCGTGGGACCTTCTTAGGCCCTGTGACCGCAGGCCTCTGGGCCCTGAATGGGCCTGTCAACCATGAGGCGATGACTTCCTTCACTCCCAGCCAAGGGGAAGGAACTTGTGGATTGACTAAACTGTCAGAAATTGGACACAGTGAGGGAAACTGCAAAGGACCTTCTCAAAGAGGACACTGTAGTCATCTCTATTGCATTGACCCATCACCATGTCATTCATTAGTGCTGAAGTTGTTAGGAATTTTGCTTCTCGTTGATTTCAAGTTTACCTTGTGGCTGAGAAGGGAAAGGTATTTCTTGGTTTAGCGTATATGAATGAATAAATTGGATTATCCTGCTTTTCTCTGTACAACATTTGGTTCTGTTTGTTTTGTTTTTCGAGATAGGGTTTCTATGTGTAGCCCCGGACTGTCTTGGAACTCGCTCTGTACATCAGGTTGGCCTCGAACTCACAGAGATCCTCCTACCTATGCCTCCCGAGTGCTGGGATTAAAACCTTGTGCCACCACGCTTGGCAAACATTTGGTTTTTTAAAGATCATAAAGTGTAGTCAAGTGGGCAGCTTTAGTGTTTCCTTCGTGTCATATCTTCCTGATCCCAAAATGTTCCTGAATTTTAAATATGGTGGATGGAGTACAATGCAGAACTGATAGAAATTCTATTGAGGGCTCTTTGGATTTATTTGTTGAAATGATTAATATAGATATATTTTGATTGTTTTTTGTATCCTAGACATTGGACTGTTTGTCGTGTCCCCAGGCAGGAGTGCCTCCCCAAAACTTCTAGAGCAGATAAATGTAAGGTAGCTAGAACAGGAACCAATGCCCTCTTCTGACCTCCTTGGTCACCAGGCACATACATGGTGCACATACATACATACAGGCAAAACATTTATACACATAAAACATTATTTACTAGCTTTCTTGGCCTTCTCTGACTGTTTCTGCTTTTACATGTAAACATTTTCTTAATAGACTTTTTGCCCTTTTTCTTTCATCTAGGCAAATGCTTTCCTGACAAACAGAAAACACAAGTTATTCAAGAATTTTCTTGAGAGCTGGGCATTACACATGTAAACCCATACTTGGGAGATGACAGCAGGAGAGAGGGAATTCAAGAGTAGCTCAGCCTTCGTGGGAAATTCTATCCTAAAAACAGTAGCAACAAAAGCTGGAAGTGTAGCTAGCATATGAGAAGCCCAAAATGGATGGAGGTAGCAGGATAGAGAGTTTCTTTGGGACTTTTTTTAATTTTTGGTTTTTCGAGACAGGGTTCCTCTGGCTGTTCTGGAACTCACTCTGTAGACAGGCTGGCCTTGAACTCACAGAGATACACTTGCTTCTGCCTCCCAAGTGCTGGGACTAAAGTTGTTCGACAACCTATTCTTTGGGTCTTTACCATTTATAATAATTGAGTTGCTAAGGCTCCAATGTAATGCAGGACCTCGTTCTCTATAGGTAGTAAGGGAAAAGGGCCCGTGGTGAAAACTGCAAATCACTCATATTGCAATGAAAACCGAGTCCGGGGTTTAAAGTACTAAGAGTTAAGATGGCAGAGTCTAGAGCACTCAGGGAAATGAGTAAGAGGGCTTGTAGCTGGGATGACACAGCCAAGCTAAACATATAACAGGAAGGACAAAGCTCTGGGCCGGTGAAGAGAAGTCATCCAGTCCTCCTGAAGCCCTTGAGGCATGGTTGTGAGACATGATTGTCCTTTCATATACTCTTGCTGCTAATGTTGCTAATTTTAATAGATTAAGATGTAAGTAAAGATGGCTGCTAACAATAGTTTCTACCTAGGAGACTTCTCAGATCACCCCACAGATAAGGAATTCAATATGAGCTAAACAAGAAAGAGTGCAGCTACTTCTTTGGAGCTGTGATAGAACTAACTTTCTGCCATGGAAAAGCTACCAATTGGTTGTGTAAATGTGGGATCAAGGAGAATATAGTCTAATGAGCAGCCACCAAGACACCTGCAAGGTTGGATACCACCAGCCAATAGCACAAGTCAGAAATAGAGAGAGGCTTCAATCACCCTTAAAAGGGTGGGCTACTAGTGAATAGATTCATCTCTCTGGTTGGGTCTGGGGTGAAGGGGGAGGCAATACCTAGAGTATGTGGGCCCTCTACTGGCTTGGCCCATAATAGTCCAGAGAATATCTAAGCTTTGTTTTTTGTTATTGTTGTTTTGTTTGTTGCTTTGTTTTTGTTTTTAAATTTTATTTTATGGATGAATGTTTTTCTTGCATATGTGCCTGTGAACCAAGTACAAATGTGCATACTTGGTGCCCAAGGAGATCCAAAGAGGGCATATTACCTGGAACTAGAGTTATGGATGGTTGTGAGCCACCATGTGGTTACTGGGAATTGAACTCAGGACCTCTGGAAGAGCAGTCAGTGCTCTTAAACACTGAGCCAACTCTCCAGCCCAGAAAAAGAGGCTCTTAACTGCTGAGCCATTTCTCCAGTCAGAATTAACTAATCTTGATAGAAATGTCCTCAGCTTACCCAACTTCTGCCATCACCCAAAGGGGTGAAAAAACTCTAGACAATGGAGTTGGGCAGCTTTTCCCTCTCTTGGAAACCCCTTTCAGTCTTGGGAGTTTCTCTCACTTTTTCTTAGTTTCTCATTTTTCCACTTTTATGCAGTAATTCTTTTTTGTTGTTGTTGTTATTGTTTTTTGAGACAGGGTTTTTCTGTGGAACCCTGGCAATCCTGGAACTTGCTCTGTAGACCAGGCTGGCCTTGAACTCACAGAGATTTATGCAATATTTCTTTTTTTTTTTTTTTTTTGTTTTTCGAGACGGGTTTTCTCTGTGGCTTTGGGGGCTGTCCTGGAACTACCTCTTGTAGACCACTCGAAATCACAGTGATCCGCCTGCCTCTGCCTCCCGAGTGCTGGGATTAAAGGCGTGCGCCACCAACGCCTGGCTGAGATTTATGCAGTAATTCTTAATAAAGCATGCTTCTGCTTTGCATACTCCCACATGAGTCTACACCATTAATCTCCATTGGCATTAGACAACAAGCTTAGAGCTCCATCCCAGGTTGATCTCTGGTGACCGTAAATGTCCAGCATCTTAGTCACTGGGTCATGAAATTGGTCAGTGAAAGGTCCCATCATCCTCAAAAACCTGCATCATTTCAGAGGTTCTGGTTTGTTTGTTTGTTTGTTTTGGGGGGGGTTCCCTCCTGTGGAACAATCCCTTTCTACATTATGAATATGTATTACTCTCATTGGTAATAAAAAGTTGACAGGCAGCTCACAATTGACTGTAACTCCAGTTCAAGGGGATCTGACACTCTCACTCAGACATACATGCAGACAAAACACCAATGAACATAAAGTGAAATTTTTAAAAAGTCATTAAAGAAATACGGTACTCCTGAACTAAAGCACCAAGAGTCTTTCTGAGGCTTTAACTTACTCTTGGTCACTGGCCAAAAATAATGAACTAATTTTGACTTTATATGCATGGTGATCTGTAACTTTCTCACCTATACTTTAACAGTTATTACTGTGTTGAGCCCCTTACAGAGCTATCCATGTGTGGGACAAACCCACGATCCTGTGGAAGGAACCACCTCTGGGTGAGACGTGAGAGAACTAGTTCTGAAATAGCACTTAGATCCTATCCCACACAGGAGTCTCTCTGGCTGATACAGAAGGTTGCAATTTTCTGGAAAGAAAAGAGATAATAATGGGAAACAAATTGGAAGTAGCAAGAGTTCCAGAGAGGGCAGGAACTACCCTTTGCCACTTTAGTTACATTTGCCTTCGGTAATTAGGGCAACTCAACCTGCAAATATTTGAAGGAATGCCCGGCTTATGTTTTTCTCAAGGGGAATATTTGCTCTTCATGAGATAGTTTTTTTGTTTTGTGTGTGCTAAGTGACAAGTCCCAGGCAATGAAGCAAACTATAATGAAGGTACAACCTACTTTAGCTGGAATTGGAAAGGAAATAAGAAATTATGAAATACATGTATGAATCCCTGTCCAAAAAAAAAAAAAGTTTTATAGACTGACTGTAAAAAGAGATGTTGGAGCTGAGGAGATTCATCAATGGGGAAGAGCTGAATTTGGTGTGGCCATACTTAGCAGTAACCCCAGAGCTGCAGGTGGAAGGAGAAAGGAATGTTGGGGCTTGCCAACCAGCCAGCATAGCTAGAACAATGGTGAGCTCCTTGTTCAGTGAGAAACTTTGTTTCCAGGAAATAGGGCAGAGGATGATAGACTAGGACACTGATTGTCATAACTTAAAAGATGTTACAGGTTTGTGGGTAGTAATCCAGATAAATTGTCCTTCTGGTAAGTTTTATTAGAATTATTAGCATCATGGCCATAGGCAGTCATGCTAAGGCCTTCAAAGAGAGCAGAACTTCAGGTCACAGAAAGAGCTTCATTAACAGAAACAGTCATCATGAACAGCATGCCTAGGATCTTAAGGAGAAATAAATAGCCTTCTATTCTCTTCTGCTTTGGGATATTAGGAGAGTTACAGCACCACACCATAGGCGGCACAATGTGCCCTTGAAGGGGAAGACAGACCCTTCCGTTCCAGGGAACAAAGGGGTTTCTTT